AAATTCGGGTTTGGGCCGTCGACTTGCTGGGCCACGCTCGTGACTAGCCCCTTGTGCGTCAGCATCACCCCCTTCGGCAGCCCCGTCGTCCCGGAGGAGTACGGCAGCGCCACCACGTCGTCCGGCTCGATCTCCGCCTCCGGCATCTCCCGCTCGTCGGCCTCCGCCAGCTCCGAGAAGCTCACGCATCCCTCCGGTGCCTCCGATTCTACGCACACAATCTGATACAACAATAACAACAATATTTATTGTTTCTATGTACATAAAATACAAAAAATAATTTGAGACAGATAAAATACGAATATTTCTGTAAATAAATATTTCGTACTCATTCCGTCCCATAAAGTCAGTTCCGTTTCGAAAAATTTCTATCCCTTATAGTTTGTCTAATTTCTATTAAAAATCACTTTTACACCTTAATTTTTCATACCCTACCTATCACATCATATTTTTTTCCTAATAATCTACTCATCACATTCTACTTTTGTCCATCACTTTAAAGATATTTTTGAAAAGTCAACACAAAATTATTCTTTCTTATTTTACTACTTTAGTTAAGTCGTCTCAATCTTTATGGGACGGAGGGAGTATATCACTACGGTTCGGTTGACATTAAATTTTAGTGTCATATTATGATATTATGTCGAAATAATATTGATAAAAGAAATTTTGAATTTGTTTGCACACATATGTTACGTGGGAAAGTAGTATAGTTAGGTACCAACCTTGGCACCATGCTCCCTTGCAAAGTCTCTAACTTTATGGACGTAACAAGCTTGCGTCACCACTAGCTTGGCGCCGGCCGCCTTGGCCTGCTTGGCCACCTCCGCCGCCATGAACAGTGGGTTGGCCATTGTCGACACGGCGCCGATGAAGGAGGCGCCGAGGAAGGTGAACACGTATTCGGGCGAGTTGGGGAGGAGGATCATGACTGTGTCATGCTGCATGATCCCCTGCCTCCTCAGCCCGGACCCCACCTTTCTCGACATCAGCTCCACCTCGCTGTACGTGTAGACTCTCCCTGTGGGCCCGTCGATCAGGCACCGGCGATCCCCAGAGACGTTCTCGAAGCAGTACGAGTGGAGAGGGAGGTTCGTCGGGATGTCGATGTCCGGTAGCTTCGACCGGAAAATGACGTCATCACAAGGCCTTGTTTGGCTTCCCATGTTTTCTTTTTTTTTTAAATGGATTAATGGATAAAATGGACACAATAATGGAGAGGGATTTGACGTGTCCTGGGAGAGAAGATTTGGATGAGTGGAATATATATATGGGGGTCAAAAGGGGTTGGAGTGCAATTGTTGATTTGTTGGTGGAAGAGAGAGGTGGGGTTGGTGGAGGGACTATGTGGGAATTTCGGGGTTGGTCAGGGGCCAAATTGTTAAAAGAAAAAGTGATTGGACTTAGTAATGATTCTTCATAAGTTTTGTTGATGCACTCTATTTGGCATTTCGGATTTGGTGAGACTTAAAGTTTGGTTGGTGAGAAAGTGTTTGGGATTTGACAAAACGGATTTAACAAAAAGGGTTGGAGATTAAGGGTTGGTGTGGTAAACGCGGAAGAGAATTGATAAAATTAAAATTGAATTGGAAATTGAAACTTTTTGTAATTGATTTGAATAGAATTGAATTTTTTTAATTTTAATTTATTTTTGAGACTACAAATTTCAGATCCATATATTCATTTGTGTTACCAAACACTAAAATTTGAATTATTGTTTACTATTTCAATTACAAAGTTTGAATTTCGTGTACCAAGCGGAGCCTAATCACAAACGGAGAAAATATTTCGTAATCCCTCCTTATTAAAAAAGGATTCTAGTTTGACCTGACACAAAATTCAAAGAAAGTAAAAATTTGTAGTTGAAAATGAGGTAAAGGAGAGATAAAGATTGTGATTCACTCAAAATTTTTCATAAAAGGAAGATTAGTCTTTTTTTAAGACGTCTCAAAAAGGAACTAAGGTGTTTTTTGGGACGAATAGAGTATACAGAGTAATTTTTTGTCAAGTGGGGCTTTAATCATGGTTAATAACTTCGACCAATCAGAGTCTGACTTGCAAGTTTGAACTAATCTACTAGTTAATTTTACTGGTTATGATTGGAATAAATTTTGATCTAATTTAGTTTGGTTTGATTTGATTGTAATTATATTTAAAACTGTCTCTGATTTGATTCTAATAAGAATACGTAATACACTATCCATCTAAATGAGTTATACGGAGTACTTTGCAAGCAATTAATTAAAATTTTAAATTTTTTGATTCATTTTATTGGAAACAAAAAATAAGAGGTGACAAGAATATTTTATATGACCAAATTATTATTAAAAACATATAAATAAATAAAAAATTCTGTGATTTTAAAATAGGAAAAAGTGTAACTCATTAGGTAAGATAAGGGAGGTAGTAAGGTCTGGGTCCCATACGTAATATATTGATTATTGACTAATCTGCCTCGTCACCTAATTAGGTGGACTAGTGCAAAACGTTAAGTCCACTTAAATTGACCACTTCCTATGTCCGAGTCTATCTAGTCTAGGGTGTTTGGGACAGAAAACTGCTCCTGGGTACCCCATATTTTGAGAAACTAACTGTCAGGTACTTCACATTTTCAAAATATACTCCAAGGTCCCTTCTATTTTGACTATCGGGTACCTCACATTTTTAAAATATACTCCGAGGTACCCTCTATTTTGAGAAATTAACTATCGGGTACCTCACATTTTTAAAATATATTCCAGGATACCTCTAAATATACATTAATTTTATGTAATTAATTTTAAGAAATAGGGGTTTGGAATTTTAAAAGTAACCAAGATCTTTTTAATTTGAAGAAAATTGTAATCAATACTTTTAAAATTGAGTACTCAATTTTCTTCAAATTAAAAAGATCTTGGTTTTTTTTAATTCCAATCCCCTATTTCTTAAAATTAATGGCGTAAAATTAATATATATTTGGAGGTATCCTGGAGTATATTTTAAAAATGTGAGGTACCCAATAGTTAGTTTCTCAAAATAGAGGGTACCTCGGAGTATATTTTAAAAATGTGAGGTACCAATAGTTAGTTTCTCAAAATAGAAGGTACCTCGGAGTATATTTTGAAAATATGAGGTACCTGGCAGTTAGTTTCTCAAAATATGGGGTATCCAAGAGCAGTATTCTGTGTTTGGGAGTTGTATGAAAAAACATACGGAGTATGAGTTTTTATTTTATTAAAATATAATTTTAAATGTTCTTTAATCATTTTTAGATTATAGTTTGTGATTTAGAAGTGTAAATTATGTTTACAAGTGATTTTCATCAAAGGTCAGAGTAACTAGTTTCTACTTCTGATTTAGAATATACCCTGAGTATATTTTTTTTAAGATTCACTGCACTCACAAATACCCTCCAAATCTAATGTCTCATTCGCGATTACACGGGTTCAACAGTCCAGTCCAATCCGGATTTAATACAGAGTACTACATTGTGTTTGTTTTTTTTGCACATAAAACACACTTTATTACCAAAACAACCGTCTAGACAGGTTACATCAGATTTAACTTCCAACTACAAACACTCATTACATACTACAACACATTTATATATTCTAAGTAGTTTCTTATATAAGCTATAGCTTGTTGAGTAGGCATCCCAGTATCTCCTCTTTGCTGGTGCATTTTGGCATTCCTCCACCTCCAGATTTGATAAACACAAGTAGCCCATACAGCAATCCACTTTTTCCTTTGTTTCCCTCCTGGTATCATATGCACTGCCCTCCCAAAACCTTCAACAGATCCCTCATAGATTTGCATATTGAAGTCCTTCATCACTAAAGCAGCCAAAGATTTAGATT